CTCTCGGACCGGTCGCAATTTGTGTTGGCAGGGGGGCAGAGGTCGACCTCGAGGTGCCTCACTTGTGGGGTACCACAGGGGTCAGTCCTCTCGCCTCTCCTGTTCAACATTTATATGAAGCCACTGGGTGAGATCATCCGTGGTTTCGGGGTGGAGTTTCATCAGTACGCAGATGACACCCAGCTGTACATCTCCACCCCGGACCACCCCAACGATGCCACGGAAGTGATGTCCCGGTTCCTGGAGGCCGTGCGAGTCTGGATGGGGCTTCGACTCAACCCGTCCAAGACCGAGTGGCTGTGGTTTCCGGCGTCACATCATAGCCAGTTGGTTGCATCTCTGGCTATCGGGGGCGAGTCATTAGCTTCCGCGGAGAGGGCCCGCAACCTGGGCGTCCTCCTGGATGCTCGGCTGTCTTTAGACGATCATGTGACAGCCATGGCCAGGGGGGCTTTTCATCAGGTTCGCCTGATACGCCAGTTGCGCCCCTTTCTGGATCGTGACGCTCTACGCACGGTCACTCAAGCCCTCGTTTCCCGCCTGGACTATTGCAACGCTCTCTACATGGGGCTCCCCTTGAGGTGCACCCGGAGGCTCCAGCTAGTTCAGAATGCAGCCGCGCGGGGGATCCTGGGGGCCTCTAGAGGCTCCCATGTAACACCTCTCCTGCGCGAGCTGCACTGGCTGCCTGTGGCCTTCCGGGTGCACTTCAAGGTGTTAGTAACAACCTTTAAAGCGCTCCGTGGCAATGGACCTAGGTATTTGCAAGACCGTCTCCTACCAAACACCTCCCTTCGACCAGTCCGCTCCCACAGAGAGGGCCTCCTTAGGGTGCCGTCGGCCAGACAATGCCGGCTGGCGACCCCCAGGGGGAGAGCCTTCTCTGTGGCAGCTCCTGCCCTCTGGAATGACCTACCCCCCGACCTACGTACAGTTGCGGACCTGCGCCTTTTTCGTCGAGCCCTGAAGGCTCATGTATTCCGTGCGGCCGGCCTGGCATAGTTTGATTATGTTTTAGTGGGGGTTTTGTATGGGGTATTTTTAGAGCAGGCCTGTTATTTAATTTGATTTTAGACAGAAATTTGTGTATATTTATTGTGGCTTTTATTATTGCCTGTTCACCGCCCTGAGTCCCGTAAGGGAGATAGGGCGGTATATAAATTCAATAAATAATAATAATAATAATAATGACCACGCAATGTCATAAATGTGGGGGGGAAAGGGACATAAGTCTCTTTTTTCAGTGCTGCTGTAACTTCAGTCACTAAATGAACTGTGGTAAGTCGAGGACTGTGTGTATGCCAGTGGACCAGGAATTGCGCATTGTGACTGGGAACAGAAGTCAAATCACAACTGGCTGGTAAGCCAGGCCAAAATTGGTAGACAGAATTGACATCGGGGGTACTGTATAAATTTCTTTCGTTCTCACAGATGTCCCAAATCAGCAGAGTGGAGTCTTGAGGTTTTTTTTTAAAAAAAAAAAAATTATTTTGGGGAAATGACCTCCCACCTTGTATTCCTGTGGCTCATCACAGCCTCCCATCCAGCTATGGACTTTCTGCATCTCTAGGGTAAATTCTTGAGGGCCTGAACCTTGTAGTTGCCTTGCAAAGTAATGCAATTCTTCTCTCCTGCCCAATTTCCAGGCACGGTATGTATACGCTGCCTGGTGTTCCCACTCATTGTAAAGAGCCAGCGAGACGCAATCGAATTAAACAACCACGTACCCCAAATGACTGCATTAACTGCCAGAATCAGCGAAGCCAAGAAGACTGGCAACAGACAACAGTGTAAGTTTAAAATGGGATCAAACCTGAGTGGGATTAAAATAAGGTTCTAGGATTAAATCAAAGTCTGAAACAGCAGCCGTTGAGATCAGGCTGAAGGACGACGACGTGGATGGAAAGGTGATCTTCCATTAATATTACCAGCCTCTAAAATGCACTACTATGGTTGAAGGAGATAGGAATTGTAGTCCACTATCTGGAGGACAGGAAGTGCTCATAAGCAACACTTGCAAGACAGGTTTAGTTGTATCTTAGCCTCACATTTCCTGTCTCTTTTGCTCCCAGTTTCGCAGGCCGTCATGGATCTGGAACACTACCAGAAGACCCATAATATTAACCCCCTGCGAGGATTAATCACGCCTCTTGTCCAGGTCAGCTTCTGTGACATGCTTGGAATGTGTTATCGTGTGCACGGCTTACCGGCTTGACCTCTTCTCTTCTCGGTCTCAGGCACCCATTTTCATCTCGTTCTTCTTTGCCCTGCGCAAAATGGCGGAGTGTCCTGTGCCCGGCATGCAGACGGGGGGACTCTGGTGGTTCACGGACCTCGCAGCCCCGGATCCTTACTACATACTTCCGGTGATGGTATCTGTCACCATGTGGATTGTTACGGAGGTACGATTTGGGCAATTTGAAAGCGAAGTCTGGCTAGCCACAGATTTTGCTTCCACTTAGCTTTTACCTAGCGTTCCCCCAGATCTCTTCCTCCACCTGTCGGGATTTTGAAGAAATTGGTAGGCATGAGAGAGGGCTTCTGGGGTGGACCATGTAAAAATCTACCCAGATCTTGACTAGGGATTGAGTGGCTCTCCATTTATCCGAAGCCTGGCTCTGCCTGGATCTTTGACCTGCTTGTTTCCTGTCAGGCTAATTCAAAGCCATCCTGGTGGTGTGGATTGAGGACTGGGATAGATACGTGAAGCAGGAAGAGTAGAAAATTGAGCAGTGGTCACTGGATAACACCTGTCTTTCCTTCAGACTGGGATGCAATCAGGACCTCCACACCCAAACCTGGAGCTAATGAAAAAGGTTTTCCGAGTGATGCCCGTGGTCTTCCTTCCGTTCATAATTTCCTTTCCAACGGTAAGAGGGCATTTCAGCTGGGTTCTGCGGAAAACCCCACGGATTTTTATTTGTTAATCAAACGTATAGGCAGTCTGTCTCACTGTCATGTGCAGATTGCAGTTGTGCAAGGCAAAGATGGCAAAGAGGTAGACATAACTTTCTTTAAGTCTCATAGCTTCAAAGGGGGCACTGCTGGAAACCTGCATGCTTTCCACACTTTGTTCTACAAATTATTTGTTCGTTTATTTAATTGTATTTGTATAGCCACTCATCTCACATAGTGACTCTGGACAGCATACGTAGTAATAATCGAGAGTATATTAAAACCATTAAAACAACATATTTAATTAAAATAAGATAGAAGCAAATAAACTGGTGAAAAAACATATAGTGTACTTTGGTCTAGTAGTTAAGGCTGCAGGCTAGAAACAAGGAGACTTGAGTTCTAGTCCTGCCTTGGGCATGAAAACCAGCTAGGTGGGCCAGTCACTCTTTCTCAGCCCAAGCACTTCACAGGGTTGTTGTGGGGAAAAGTAGGAAGCAGATTAGGTATGTTTGCCACCACAAGTTATTTACAAAAATAATAAAAGATTTTTTTTAAAAAGTCGTACAAGCATCTAACAGGCTCCATTCTACCAAGGGTTCCCCAAACTGGTTGACAAAGCCGTATTTTAAGAGAGGGTGTTACACAGGGCTGGGATCTTAATAGCAGAAAGGGCTTTCTTCCTAGCCCCAAATAAAACAGTCCCTGTCCCACGACGTGTCTCTCCTGCCGGACCTGATAGGAGTGGATATAACCAGGGAGAGGCAGTCGTTCAAATATCTCAATTCCATGACATGTAGAGCTTTGAAGGAAAAAACACCTTGAATTGGACCCAGAAGCAAACTGGCAACCAGGGCACCTCAAGTGGCAGAGGTGTAACACATGCAGATCTTGGAGTAGGCATTACTGCAGCAGCACCAACTGAAACCTCTGGATATTTTTTCAAGGGTAGTCCCGTGTAGAGTGCACTACAGTAGTCCATTCAGGAGGTGAATACGGCAGGAATGACAGAAAGTAGAGTCTCCTGACCCAAGAAAGGGCACAATTGGCACACAGCATGAAGCTGTGCAGAGGCCTTCCTGGCCACAACTCCCACCTACTCTTCAAGCAGGAGTCCTGACTCCGGAGGAACCCCCAAGCTGTGCATGAGGTTTGCTTGGGGCAGGGCAACCCCATCTAACACGAAGATGGTAAATCCCCAGATGCAGAAGGCCTTAAAACCTAAAAGCCACTAAAAGCCTGTTGTTCCTCCACAACTTTCAGGCACTAAGGACATCAGCAGCCTCACTTAGCTCATCAGGGGCAGAGATGTAGAGCAGGTTGTTATCAACTAAGCGTCTAGTCCATATAAGATAGGACTGCATCCACTCGTGTCATTTCTGTTTTTCAGTGGTGCAGGGAGAGATCACCTAATTTCAATAAAGAATATACTTAGCTCAGTGTTGAACTGATTCCTGGTGTGAGCTTGAGTTTTCCTGCAGACATTTCTATACCAGGCTAGATAACCACATCAGTGCAGGAAGGAGCGAAGCAAACCTAGAACCCAGAAGATCATCTGATGTTCTGTGCTCTCTTTCTCCCATGCAGGCCATCTTTACCTACTGGCTGACATCCAACTTTTTCTCTATTATGCAAATATTACTCTTCCGTTTACCTGCCGCTCGTACTTTTTTTCACATTCCTGAGAGGGTGACACACAATCACAATCCTACGAGCGTACCTCCCCAGGAAGATTTTCTGAAGAGCATCAAGGAAGGTGAGTTGAGGGGAAATGGCTGAAGGCAGGAATGGGTTGACCAGATTCATATGGTCACGCACGTTTGGCTGCCTCCTGCTCTAATCTCTCCTAGGATGGCAGAATATCCAGATGGCTCATCAGCTAGACGAAAGACAGAAGTATCTCAAAAAACAACTGGATTCAACACATAAAGGTAAGCCTCTTTCACTGTTAACCTGCTGCCAGCCATGATCACAAATGCTTGTATTTTGCATTTGAGAAAGGGGAGGTCTTATTCTCCAGACGTTGCTGAACTACAATGTCATCGGTCCTGGTATAGGATGCTGGGAGTTGTAGTTCAGCAGCATCCAAAGTCTACCTACAACCTTTTAAAACATCTGGTTTGTAAAGGTTCAGGCTGCTAAACCTAACAGATATTTGATAAGATCCAAACAATCTTTTTTTTCCAGCTTGATTGCAGAAGTTCCTGGGAGTGGAGGGGGGGTGATATACAAGGTGGTTTTTACTTTGAAAAAAAAATACACAGAAGTTTTATTCTTGTGCTCTCTTCCATTCACAGGGTCACTCCACCAAACTTTTCCCCATAGAACCTCACAGCATCCGAGCAAACCACCGCCACAAAAGAGAGACTTGGGATGAAGGCTACCCAAGCTGTATTCAAGGCAAAAACGTTTTCCCACCTCCCTTATCCTTTTGCCCTAGTTTAAATTTATTAATTTTGTTTTCCATTTGCTCTGAGAGCATATGTGTAAATGTGTCTATAAATTTATTACATAAAATTATGCTTTGAATTAACAAATCTTTTCAAATTAAATCTGTAATATGTTGCAAAAAGAAAAGGTCAGCATATCAGGAGCATGAGATTAGAAAAACATGTAATGCAGGGGGGGTAGTCAACCTTGGCTCTTTTATGACTCGTGGACTTCAACTCCCAGAATTCCTGAGCCAGCTGTGCTGGCTCAGGAATTCTGGGAGTTGAAGTCCACGAGTCATAAAAGAGCCAAGGTTGACTACCCCTGATGTAATGTATCCAACTCACCCTTAAAAGGATGTTCACATAATGATATCAAGTCGATACTGTCCACCCTGATGGTTGGTCTGCAATACCAAGAAATCCCACATTGGCATTATTAGTGGATTGTAAGGCTATTGGTTTATTCCATAAATGCATATGGTACCCCATTTGAGCAAAGCCAGAAACAAAAATTACGGATAAAACAGTACAACAAATAACAAAGATGGCACATAAAAATAATCAATTTCTCAAGTAATGCAATAAATACAGAAACCGGGCTCCAGTGACTATTCTGTCCTTATGTCTAATGGAAAAGTCAGGTTTTAAAGGCCTTACAAAAAGCCAACAAAGAAAAGCCATGGTAGGTGACTCACACACACAAACACACACACACCCTCTCTCTCTCTCCCTCCCTCCCTCATTTACATGAGAAACCTCCAAAAACGTGAAAACTTCTATATTTCCCCTCACACACACACCCCGTCATGGCCTATAGTGCAGATTTTCCCAATCTTGCCCACTTTTTTAAGACTTGTGGACTTCAACTCCCAGAATTCCCCAGCCAGCATGCATTCGGGATTTTTATCTGAGATTATTCAACCTCTCCGAGCCTCTCACCATCTGCTCTTTTCAAAAGGCGGACCTCCTTCCCTCAACAGCTTTCTCCTGGCAGTTTTCCCCCCCTTTTCCTACCAAAAGGAGGACGAAATTCCCACTACCGCATCCCTCAACCCCCCCCCCCCTTATAACGTCCTTTCTCCTCATAATTACTTTTCCACAGGCGCAAAAAAAAATATCAGGAAAAGTCTGGCGGCAACCTGTTCCAACTGTGTCAAAAAGGCAAGAATTTTCCTCAGCAAACTTCGTCAGGGCCGACAGAGACCAACGCGCCTCCATAATGAACCTCCTCAGGCGACAGCCCGCCAAAATGTTCGCTCTGCCTTGTTGCTACGCAGGAGAGTCTTTCTGATTGGTGGAGGCTTGTCAGCCAATCGGAAGGAGGGGTGAGTGGGCGGCAAGCCAATCAGAACGAGGATGCTCCAACCGGCGCAAGAGACGCGGGTCTTCAAGTTGCCAAAGCGGAAAAATATTAAGCTGGGAAGACTTGCCCGAACCTATCGCGGAAGCATCACTGCCCGCGAGAAACATGGCCGCGCTTCCTCTTCCGTATCGCCTCGACGAGCACCAGGAAGCCCAAAGGAAATACCGAAGTGCCCGTGACAAATATGGCCACGATGGATAATATCTTAATCTTTACCCTTTTCCCAGATGGCGTTTCACTCTCAAAGTCGTTATTTTATTTTGGGGGTTTTATTTTCCGCCCATCAACGCCGGCCCCCTCGCGAGAAAAGTCGCCCTTCGCCTTGGAGGTCGCCTGGGAGACACAAAGCCGCGTGCCCGTAACCAAGAGGGCCGCGGCGGCGGCGGCCTCGGAAGAGCGTCTGCACGGCTTTTCCGGTCACGTGACGAGGCAGCCGGGTCCTCCGCGGCGGCGGTCAAGTCGGAGACCATGGCGGCTTTCGCGGCGCTGCGGCGAGCGTGGATCGCGGCGGGGGCGCTTCACCCTCAGGTGGGTATGCCCGGGGGGGAAGGACGGGGGCTGTGACGTTACGCGCCCGTCGCACGATGGGATATAATAATAATAATAATGATAAAGTTGCAAGGGACCTTGGAGGTCATCTAGTCCAACCCACTGCTCAAGCAGGAAACCCTATAGTACCATTTCGGACAAATGGCTGTCCAGTCTCTTCTTAAAAACTTCCAGTGTTGGAGCATTCACCGCTTCTGGAGGCAGGTTGTTCCACTGGTTAATTGTTCTCAGTGTCAGGAAGTTTCTCCTTAGTTCTAGGTTGCTTCTCTCCTTGGTTAGTTCCCATCCGTTGCTTCTTGTCCTGCCTTCAGGCGCCTTGGAAAATAGCTTGACTCCCTCTTCTTTGGGGCAGTCCCTGAGATATTGGAAGACTGCTATCATGTCCCCCCTCGTCCTTCTCTTCATTAAACTGGACATATCCAATTCCAGCAGCCGTTCCTTATATGTTTTAGCCTCCAGTCCCCTAATCATCTTTGTTGCTCTTCTCTGTACTCTTTCTAGAGTCTCAACATCTTTTTTACATCGTGGTGACCAAAACTGGATGCCGTATTCCAGGTGTGGCCTTACCAAGACCTTGTAAAGTGGTATTAATACTTCACGTGATCCTGATTCTGACCCTCTGTTAATGCAGCCTAGCACTGTGTTGGCCATTTTGGCAGCTGCAGCACACGGTTGGCTCATATTTAGGTGATTGTCCACTAGGACTCGGAGGTCCCTCTCACAGTTACTACTATTGAGCAAGGTACCCTCTATACCAGGGGTAGGCCACCTTGGCTCTTTTATGACTCGTGGACTTCAACTCCCAGAATTCCTGAGCCAGCATGGCTCAGCTTGGAAACCTCTCCTTTTCCCCTCAGCATGGCTGGCTCAGGAATTCTGGGAGTTGAACTCCACGAGTCATAAAAGAGCCAAGGTTGCCTACCCCTGCCCTATACTATACCTATACATTTGGTTTTTCTTGCCTAAATGTAGATCCTTGCTTTTTTCACCATTGAGTTTCATTTTGTTAGATAGCGCCCAGTGTTCAAGTCTGTCCAGATCCTCCTGTATCCTAAGCCTGTCTTCTGGACTGTTGGCTATTCCTGCCAGCTTGGTGTCGTCTGCAAATTTGATGAGTTCCCCATCAAGTCCGTCCAGCCCGCCACAGGCCTGTGCTGCTCGTCCTTGCAGGGAGCCTGACCCAGGGGCGGGTTAACCGTCGGGTTAATTCCAGGTTGCTTTTCTCCTCGATTAGTTCCCATCCGTTGTTTCTTGTCTTCCCTTCTGGTGCTTTGGAAAATAAATTGATCCCCTCCTCCTCCTTGTGGCAGCCCCTCAAATATTGGAAGACTGCTATCATGTCCCCCCTGAGGCCTTTAATCCCCTTACAGTAGTTGCTCTTTTTCATGGGGACTTTGTAGGTTTGTGGATTGAGGGAAGGAGGAGGAGGAAAACGTGGTGGTTGTGGTTTGTGGGGTCCTTCTGAATTGGGTTGCTTTGTTACAGACGTTTCGTGACCCAGCTAGGTAACATCATCAATCTAGAGTTGGGTTTGGAGAGTAGAGGAGGAAGAAGAACAGGAAGAGGAGGGTGGTGGGGTGGGGTCCTTGGTGCGCTCCGAGCTGGCTTGTTTTCTTGCAGAAGTTTCATTACTCAAAGCTAGTTAACGGCATCGTCGCAGTTGTTAAGTGAATCACTGCGGTTGTTTCGTTAGTAAAATGGTGGCTAAGTGAATCTCAGAAGGTCGGAAAAGGGGATCCCAGGACCCCGGGGACACTGCAACCGTCATAAGTACGTGCCAGTTGCCAAGCCTTCGGATTTTAATCACGTGACCACAGAGGAGGCTGCACAGGCCATGTGAAAAAGGGCCATAAGTCGCTTTTTTCAGTACCTTTGTAAACCCGAACAGTTACTGAAATAACAGATGTAAATGGAGGACTGCCTGTATGAGCGATGCGGTTAGGTGATGTTTTGCTTTACAGCCGCATCGCTTAGTGATACCTGTCCCGATTGCTGTCGTCACCTGAGGACTGTTTGTATAAGCCCGTTCTTTTTCACAAACTTCGCTGGCGGCACAACTGGTTAGCGTGCAGTGTTGCAGGCCAACTCACTGCCCACAGCCAGGAGTTCGATCCTGACCGGCTCAAGGTGGACTCCGCCTTCCATCCTTCCGAGGTGGATAAAATGAGGACCCAGATTGTTTTTTTGGGGGGGGGGGCAACAGGCAGACCCTGTGAACCGCTTAGAGAGGGCTGTAAAGCCTGTGAAGTGTTATGTAAGTCTAAATGCTATTGCTACTGCCCTTCCTTCCTTCCTTCCTGTTTCCTTCCTGCCTTTTCATTTCCTTCCTGCCTTTTTGTTTCCTTCTCGTTTCTGTACTTTTTTATTTCCTTCCTGTTTTTTCCTTCCTCCCTTCCTTCCTTCCTTCTCATTTCTTTCCTGCTTTTTCATTTCCTCCCTGCCTTTTTGTTTTTTTCTTTCTCGTTTCCTTCCTGCCTTTTCATTTCCTTCGTTTTTTCCTTCCTTCCTTCCTTCTCGTTTCCTTCCTACCTTTTCATTTCCTTCCTGCCTTTTTGTTTCCTTCCTTCTCGTTTCCTTCCTGCCTTTTCATTTCGTTCCTTTTCATTTCCTTCCTGTTTTTTCCTTCCTTCTTTCTTCCTTCCTTCTTTCCTTCCTTCCCAGTGATTAGCATGCACTATTGCAGGCCAGCTCCCTGCTCACTGCCAGGAGTTCGATCCTGACCGGCTCAAGGTGGACTCCGCCTTCCATCCTTCCGAGGTGGATAAAATGAGGACCCAGACTGTTGGGGACAACGGGCTGACTCTGTAAACCACTCAGACAGGGCTGTAAAGCGCTGTGAAGCGGTAGATAAGTCTTAAGTGCTATTGCAACTGCCCTTCTGTCCTCCCTTTTTGTTTCCTTTTGTTTCTTTCCTTCCTTTTTATTTCCTTCCTTCCTTCCCAGTGGTCAGCATGCAGTATTGCAGGCTGACTCTGCTGACCGCCACCAGTTCGATCCTGACCTGCTCGAGGTGGACTCAGCCTTCCAGCCTTCCGAGGACCCAGATTGTGGTTTTTTTGGGAGGGGGGCAAGATGCTGACTCCTTTAAACCGCTCAGAGAGTGTTGCGAAGCGGTATATAAGTCTCAAGTGCTGTTGCTATTCCTTTCCAGGTTCCCAGAACATCCACCCCTCTGAGATGGTCCCAGGTCAAAAGCCGGTTGGCTTCCCCGCAGCAGTCTCAGAACTGCCACGTTGTGCTTTTCAGGCCCGCAATCCGACATCAGAGCACCGCAGCGGCTGCAGGCGCGCAGGTAAGGAGAACACACCTGCGCGCTTGGAAAGCAAGGCGAGGTCAAGGAGACGTAGGACTTGGGAATTTTGGGGGATATTCCACACCACCTATAACACTGGTGGCGAACCTATGGCACGCATGCCAGAGGTGGCACTCAGAGCCCTCTCTGTGGGCACGTGCACCGTCGCCCCAGCCCCGCCTCCCGCCACGTCCCCCGGAGGAGAGTTGCCCCCGAGCGCAATCCGCGCAGAGCAGCACAGCCAAGGGCGTGGCAGCCAGGCAGCGGGGACAAGACTGCCCTCGCGCCCTGTCACATGCAGATGATGTTGCGGGGCATGGGTGGAGGGTATGGCTGCCATGGCGCTGCTGGGCTGCCTGGGCGATCTGCGGTGGGCCGTGGAAGCGGTGGGTGGCCATGCGGGTGGGCAGGGCGCAGAGGAGGGTGGGCAGGGAGGCGGGGGCGGTTTTGGGGCACTTGGTCTCTAAAACAGGGCTTTTCAACCAGTGGTACAGGTACCACCTGTGGTACATTGGCACCTGGCAGGTGGTACGCGACTATCCGAGCTGGAGCTCGGCACTGATCCTGGCGCTTCTGCTGAGCCCTGAAGAAGCACCAATCAGCTGAAATATTGCAGCATCTCCAGGGTCTTGTGATTCAGATGCTTGGCAACTGATTCATATTTATGATGGTCACAGTGTCCCAGGGTCATGTGAAGTGACCAAAACCTGCTGCAACCACCCAGCAGACGGGGGGAATAAAGACCAAACACCCCCCCACCCCACCTCCGCTGCCAATCCTCAACAGAAATGCTCACAACAATGAAAACCTCGGACAGGAGGAAGAGCGCCGCCGGGTGGGCAGGCAGGTGTCTTGCTCGGCTGTGGCTTGGGGGGCCCTTTTTCAGTGCCATTGTAACTTCGAACAGTCACTAAGCGAACTGTTGTAAGTCGAGGACTACCTGTACTTTATCACTTTTTTCCTTTTTTGGGGGGGTCGTCAAGTTTTTGACACCTTGCTAGGCGACTGGTGGTATTCGAATATTGCCATATCCTAAAAGTGGTACAATGGGTGAAAAAGTTGAAAAGCCCTGCTCTAAAAGGTTCGCCATCATTGACCTATAATAATCAGGGTGTGTTCCTCTCCCCCCCCCCTCTTTCAGGTTGCTCAAGCTGCAGCACCTGCGCCGGTAGAGACAGTCCTACCTTTAGAGGAACTTAGCCAGGTTGCGGAAGAATCGACTTTGGCCGAACTGGGTCTGGGAGGCTTCAGTCCCGTGGGTCTAATCATGAAGATTTTGGAGTCTTTCCACCTGGACCTGGGGCTGCCTTGGTGGGGAGCCATCGTAGGAGGTAAAAGAGGACCGCTGGGGTCGTTAAGCAGATTGGAAGAGAAAGGCATTTTTACCTCCTGGATAGGAAAAAAATAAAATAAAATAAAGATTCGCTCCCTGGAGAATCCCATTAAAAAAGATATCCTTGGAAGTGATAGGGGGAAATCCTTCACTCTTATTTATTATTATTATTATTATTATTATTATTATTATTATTATTATTATTATTATTATTATTCATCATCATCATCATCATCATCATAATCTATATAAATAAAAATGTAAATGTTCGTTTGTTCAAAATCTTAAATCTCCGAAAGTTCTTCACCGATTGCTTTGAAATTTTGACACAACGTTGCATTCGAATACACGCGTATTTTTATATACCTACTATTATATAGATGTCACACCTGTGACAGGTAAAAACATGCTTTTTTTGAAAAACAGCGCCATCTGTTGGCTGAGTGAACGAGAGCCACAGCAATGCATGGCCAGGTACAGCTAGTAATAATAATAATAATAAAGTTGGAAGGGACCTTGGAGGTCATCTAGTCCAGGGGTAGGCAACCTTGGCTCTTTTATGACTCGTGGACTTCAACTCCCAGAATTCCTGAGCCGGCATGAGGGAAACTTTGGCCCCTTCACGACTCGTGGACTTCAACTCCCAGAATTCCTGAGTCAGCATGGCTCAGCTTGGAAACCTCTCCCTTTCCCCTCAGCATGGCTGGCTCAGGAATTCTGGGAGTTGAAGTCTACGAGTCATGAAGGGGCCAAAGTTTCCCCCATGCTGGCTCAGGAATTCTGGGAGTTGAAGTCCACGAGTCATGAAGGGGCCAAAATTTCCCTCATGCTGACTCAGGAATTCTGGGAGTTGAAGTCCATGAGTCATGAAGGGGCCAAAGTTTCCCCCGTGCTGGCTCAGGAATTCTGGGAGTTGGGAGTCCACGAGTCATAAAAGGACCAAGTTTTAAGACCCCTGGTTTAAATAATAATGATGATGATGATGATGATGATGATGATAAAGTTGGGACCTCGGAGGTCATCTAGTCCAACCTTTTTCCCTCACAGTCACGTGATCAAAATTCAGGCATTTGGGCAGGGGTAGGCAACCTTGGCTCTTTTATGACTCGTGGACTTCAACTCCCAGAATTCCTGAGCCAGCCATGCTGAGGGGAAAGGAAGAGGTTTCCAAGCTGAGCCAGGCTGGCTCAGGAATTCTGGGAGTTGAAGTCCACGAGTCATGAAGGGGCCAAAGTTTCCCTCATGCTGGCTCAGGAATTCTGGGAGTTGAAGTCCACGAGTCATAAAGGGGCAAGCAACCCTACACCATTTCGGACAAATGGCTGTCCAGTCTCTTCTTTAAAACTTCCAGTGTTGGAGCATTCACCGCTTCTGGAGACAGGTTGTTCCACTGGTTAATTGTTCTAACTGTCAGGAAGTTTCTCCTTAGTTCTAGGTTGCTTCTCTCCTTGACTAGTTTCCACCCGTTGCTTCTTGTCCACAACATTAACAGAACACATCATCTAACATGCGAACGCAAATATAAGTTTAAATAAAGAGTCATGTACTTGAATAAAATATTTTACATGTGAATGTTTTAAGTAAAATATTTAAACATCGACATAAAATGCGCCACCACGCCTGGGAGGTTTTTAGGAAGAGATTGGACAACCATTTGTCTGGAATGGTACAGGGTTTCCTGCCGGAGTAAGGGGTTGGACTAGAAGACCTCCAAGGTCCCTTCCAACTCTGTTCTTCTGTTATCATCAAATCCATATATATAAAATAAAGAGGTCAGTACAATAGACAAAGTATTAAATTAAGGTAAAATTCTTCATCCTGCAGGATCCTGACCAGGGAGGATTAAGATAGTATGTCTGCTTTTATTGAATCCAAATTAATGGAATAAAAAAAAATCAGGGTTTCAGGTTACTGTTCTTGAACTTAGATACCAGGTGACAGTGAGTTCTAGTCCCACCTTAGGCATGAAAGCCAGCTAGGTGGCTTTGGGCCAATCACGAGAAGGTGGTGAGTTCTAGTTCCGCCTTAGCTATGAAAGCCAGCTAGGTGACTTTGGGCCAATCACGAGGTGGTGAGTTCTAGTGCTGCCTTAGCTATGAAAGCCAGCTAGGTGACTATGAGCCAATCACCAGGTGGTGGTGAGTTCTAGTCCCGTCTTAGCTATGAAAGCCAGCTACGTGACTTTGGCCCAATCACGAGGAGGTGGTGAGTTTTAGTTCCGCCTTAGCTATGAATGCCAGCTAGGTGACTTTGGACCAGTCACCAGGAGGTGGTGAGTTCTAGTCCCGCCTTAGCTGCGAAAGCCAGCTGGGTGACTTTGGGCCAATCACCAGGCGATGGTGAGTTCCAGTCCCCCTTACCCATGGAAAGGGGCTGGGTGACCTAGTGTCACTCACTCTCAGCCCAAGTTACCTCACACGGATATTGTTACATTGTGGGTAATTTTCAAGCTGCTGGTCCTCCTGAAAATAATCGAGGTTTTCTCTCCGTCTCAAATTTTTAGGCACGGTCCTGGCCCGCTGTTTGGTCTTCCCCCTGATTGTGAAGAGCCAGCGACAGGCGGTCCTCCTCAATAACCATTATCCCCAAATGAGCGAGATGAATTCCAGAATCACTGACGCCAGGAAGTCGGGGAATCGGAAAGAATGTACGTTTAGAGTGTGGTTAAAAACCCGAGGACCCAAGAGACGGTTGGACTGAATTGAGGATTTGATTAAAGGGAGGGAGGAAGAAAAAAGAAAGAAAGAAAGAAAGAAGGAGAAAGAGGAAGGAGAAAGAAAAGGAAGGAAAGAAAGGGAGGGAGAGAAGAAAAGGAAGGAAGGAAGGAAGGAGAAAGGGAGGGAGAGAAAGAAGGAAGGGGAGAGAAAGAAGAAAAGGAAGGAAGGGCAAGAAGAGGAAGGAAGGAGAGAGAGGGAGGTTGAGCGAGAGAGAAAAGGAGGGAGAGAGAAATAAAGAGGGGAAGAAGGAGGGAGAGAGAGAAAGAAGGAAAGAAAGAAGTAAAATTAGCAATGTTTTTTCAATATTGCTCATCCTGAAACTATTTCTCCTTTAATCTCCCAGTTATGAAGGCTTACACGGAACTGAACCAGTATCAGAAACAGCATAATCTTAATCCTAGAGCAGGATTCCTCGCACCCTTGATCCAGGTCCGTTTCCACAAAATTCCACCTGACCCTTAACGCGCTTGGAATTTGTGTTAGCTATCCGGCTCACCCGCCTGACCTTTTTCTCTCCTCTGTCTCAGACACCCATTTTCATCTCGTTCTTCTTTGCCCTGCGCAAAATGGCGGAGTGTCCTGTGCCCAGCATGCAGACAGGGGGGCTCTGGTGGTTCACGGACCTCACAGCCCCGGATCCTTACTACGCTCTACCCCTGATAACAACTGCCACCATGTGGGCTGTTCTGGAGGTAGGACTTGGTTATGATGCTAGGCCATGAAACCAGGATACTGGGAATTCTAGTTCCACCGTAAGCCTGAAAACTGGCTGGGTGACTTTGAGCCAATTGGCCAGGTGACGAGGAGTTCTAGTCCCGCCTTCAGTATGAAAACTGACTGGGTGACTTTGGGCCAAACACCAGGCAACAGGGAGTTCTAGTCCCGCCTTAGGCATGAAAACTGACTGGGTGGTTTTGGGCCAATCGCCAATAGATGGGAGTGGAGGGGTTACTTTGAGCCAATTGCCAGACAACAAGGAGTTCCAGTCCCGCCTTAAGCACAAAAATTGACTGGATGATTTTGGGCCAAACACCAGGCAACAGAGAGTTCTAGTTCTGCCTTAGCCACGAAAACTAACTGGGTTACTTTCCGCCAATCGCCAGGCAACAGGGAGTTCTAGTCCCGGCTTAGGCATGAAAACTGACTGGGTGACTTTGGGCCAATCGCCAGGCAACAGGGAGTTCTAGTCCCGCCTTAGGCATGAAAACTGACTGGGTGACTTTGGGCCAATTGCCAGGCAACAGGGAGTTCTAGCCCCGCCTTGGGCACGACTAGACTGGGTGACTTTGATCCAGTCGCCCGAAGACGGGGAGTTCTAGTCTCCCTTTAGGCGTGAAAGTTGACCGATTGACTACTGGACCAATCAGCACGAGGCCATGAGTTCTAGTCCTGCCTTAAGTCATGAAAGCCGGTTGGGTGACTTTGGGTCACACTCACTTGCTCTCTCAGCCTACCCCACCTTACAGGGTGGTTGTTTTGGGGGAAAAGAGGAGGGGGGGGCAGAAACAGATGTGAAAAGAGGAATTTGAAGAACAAGATTTCCCAATCTTGGTGACTTTAAAGACTTGTGGACTTCAACTCCCAGAATTCCCCAGCCAGCACGTGCTGGCTAGGGAATTCTGGGAGTTGAAGTCCACAGGTCTTTAAAGTCACCAAGATTGGGAAACCCTGTTGTAGAAGTTCAAACACTACCCAGTAATGACATCATATCTCTCTCTCTCTCTCCCTCTCTCTCTCTCTTTCTCTCTCTCTCTCTCTCTCTTCCTCTCTCTCTCCTCTGCAGTTTGGGGCAGAAACTGGAGTCTCCAATCCGAGTTACCACGTGATGAAAACAGTTTTCCGAGTGATGCCTCTCCTGTTGTTGCCGATCACGATCAACTTCCCAACGGTGAGAAAGGAAGAACCTCTTCCTTCATCGCGACATCGCACCAAAGGCCACGGATTGCTTGCAGGTGCAACCAACAGCTCGGCCTTGGCAGGATTTGAAACCCGCACTTTTTCTGGACATTGGTTTATTTGTGTTTGTCATGGAGAAATGCGTGGATGACGCTCTATGAGCTAGGCAGGGTCTTTTTTTTTTGCTGACATTAGAAGGAGGAGGAAGAAGAGGAGGAGGAGAAAGAAGGAGGAGGAGGAGAAGAAGAAGGGAGGAGAAGAAAGAAGGAGGAGGAGGAGAAGAAAAGAAGAAGAAGAAGAAGAAGAAGAAGAAGAAGAAGAAGAAGAAGAAGAAGAAGAAGAAGAAGAAGAAGAAGAAGAAGAAGAAGAAGAAGAAGAAGAAGAAGAGGAGGAGAAGGGAGGAGGAGAAGAAGAAGAAGAAGAGAAGAAGAAGAGGAGGAGAAGAAGAAGGGAGGAGGAGGAGAAGAAAGGAGGAGGAGGAGGAGAAAGGAAGAAGAAGAAGAAGAAGAAGAAGAAGAAGAAGAAGAAGAAGAAGAAGAAGAAGAAGAAGAAGAAGAAGAAGAAGAAGAAGAAGACGACGACGACGACTGGGGTCCTTGGTGTTCTCTGAGCTTTTCTTGCACACATTGCATTACCAAACTAGGTAACATGATCAGTGCTAGAAGTGTGCAGAGTTTCCAGAGACGAGGAGGAGAAGGATTGGAGAGGGGTCCTTGGGGGCTCTGTGAGTTTGGCTGGGTTTTTTTTGCAGACATCTCATGACCCAACTAGGGAACATCATCAGTGCTAGAAATATGTGGAGTTTGCAGGGACGAGGAGGAGGAGGAGAACTGTGGGGTCCTTGGTGCTCTCTGCACTTGGTTGTTTTCTTGCAGACGTTTCATGACCAAACTAGGTAACATCAACAGTGCTAGATAACAAACTGGAGTGGAGAAGAAGAAGAGGAGGGGGAGAAGAAGAAGGACTGGGGAGTCCTCTGAGCGTGATTGTTTTCTTGCAGACGTCTCATAACCCAGCTAGGGAACCTCATCAGTGCTTGAACAGAGTGGGATGTGTGGAGTAGAGAAGAAGGGAGAAAGGGGGACGGACGAAGAGAGGAAAGGAAGAAGAGGGGGAGGACTGGGGAGTCCTCCGAGCCCGGTGGTTTTTTAGCAGACGTTTCATGACCCAACTAGGTAACACCATCAGTTGTTGCACCGTTTGTGTGAGTTTGTCGTTCCTTGATTGCGAATTTGTGCACGGTGTGTCGTACTGCGCTGAGTACTGTTTGAGACCCTTCGCTTCCTTTATCTCGGCTTGCTACCAAAATGAGTTAACTGTGGAAAAACAGCTTGCTTGTTCGCCAGCGCCGTTGGAACTTCGAACGGTCGCTGAACGGACGGTTGTAAACCGAGGACTAACCTGTTTTTGACCTCTCTTTTTTTTGTTGTTGTTGTCTTCCGCGCAGGCCATTTTCAGCTACTGGTTGACGTCCAACCTGTACTCGCTGGGACAAGTGTTACTGTTACGTTCGCCCTCCGTCCGCACCTTCCTCCGCATGCCTAAACCGGAAATTCACAAGCCCGCAGCGGGACAGGCCCCGAAAGGATTATTTGACAGTTTCAAAACGGGTGAGTTGAGAAAAAGGGGGTTCGAAGGCTGGGAGGGGGGGTTATGTCCTTCATAAGGTCCGGCGTGCTGAGCGACCTCGTCTTCCCTTCTCCTCCGCTCTCTCCTAGGATGGGAGAGCTTCCAGGCCAAAAGACGATTACAGGAACGAGAGGACCGCATCAAAAATCACCTGACTTTAGCGGCGGCGGGTAAGTCGCTTTGGCGGGTAGTCCTCGCTGTTATGGCCGTTTGTATAGCGACCACTGAAAAAAAGTGACTTGCAACTTGTGCTCACGTGTACGGCCGTCGCAGCATCTCTACAGTTCAACCCGAGCAAAATTTGGGGTGTTTGGCCACCGACCCGTACAGATTAGTCCCCGACTTACAACAGTTCGTTTAGTGACCGTTCGGAGTTACAACGGCACTGAAAAACAGACTTACGACCGTTTTTTCACAGTTAACGACCTTTGCAGCGTTCTCCCTGATCACGTGATCGAAATTCGAATGCACGGCAATCGGTTCATATTTATGATGGTCATCGGTTCATATTTATGACGGTCGCGGTGTCCCAAGGTCACATGATCCCCTTTTGCGACCTGGGGAAGCCAGATTCGCTTAACAACTGTGTTCCTGATTTGACAACTGCAGTGATTTATTTCCCTTAACTGTGGCCAGAAAGGTCGTAAAATGGGCCCCAAAACCTCCCTTAACAGATGTCTCGGTTAGCGACATAAATTTTGGGCTCAGTTGTGTTCATAAGTCGAGGACTGTCCGTATTTAATGCTTCAAGGTTTGGGCAAGGAAGGTGGATTGCTTGCCTTGGGGAGGAATTCTTATTTTTTCACGATTGAAGGCGAACGTAGACGTCCCAGGGTAATGTTGCAGGATACAATCTGGGTCGGTCACCGGGAACAAAGGTTTTGTCTTCTGAGCTTTTGGACTCGTGCTGGGCCCATCCTCAGGGAACTAGACTAGATTAGACTGGGAATGGAATAGAATGGAATGGAAGAGAAGAGAAGAGAAGAGAATAAGAAATAATAGAATAGAATAAGAAATAGAATAGAATAGAATAGAATAGAATAAGAAATAGAACAGAATAGGAATGGAATGAATAGAGCAGAACAGGAATAGAATAGAATAGAATAGAATAGAATAGAATAGAATAGAATAGAACAGAACAGAACAGAACAGAACAGAACAGAACAGAACAGAATAAGAAATAATAGAATAGAATAAGAAATAGAATAGAATAAGAAATAATAGAATAGAATAAGAAATAGAATAGAATAAGAAATAGAATAGAATAGAATAAGAAATAGAGCAGAATAGGAATGGAAGGAATAGAGTAGAGCAGAGCAGAACAGGAGTAGAATAGAATAGAATAGAATAGAATAAGAAATAATAGAATAGAATAGAATAGAATAGAATAAGAAATAGAACAGAATAGGAATGGAATGAGTAGAGTAGAGCAGAACAGGAATAGAATAGAATAGAATAAGAAAGAATAGAATAGAATAGTAGAATAGAATAAGAAATAGAACAGAATAGGAAATAATAGAATAGAATAGAATAAGGAATAGAACAGAATAGGAATGGAATGAATAGAGTAGAGTAGAGCAGAACAGGAATAGAATAGAATAGAATAGAATAGAATAAGAAATAGAACAGAATAGGAATGGAATGAATAGCATAGAACAGAACAGAATAGCATAGCATAGCATAGGAAATAGAATAGAATAGATATGGAATGAAGAATGGAATAGAGTAGAGTAGAGTAGAATAAAATAGAATATGGAATGAAGAATGGAACGGAACAGGACAGAATAGAACAGAATAGAATAGGAGTTGGAAGTGACCTTGAAGGTCCTCTAGTCCAACCCCCTGCTCAAGCAGGAAACCCTACACCATTCCAGATAACTGACTGTCCAGTCTCTTCTTAAAATCCTCCAGTGATGGAGCCACCCACAACTTCTGGAGTTGTTCCACCGATTGATTGTTCTAACAGTCAGGAAGTTTCTCCTTAGTTCCAGGTTGCTTCTCTCTTTGGTTAGTTTCCATCCGTTGCTTCTTCTCCTGCCTTGAGGTGCTTTGGAGAATAGCTTGACCACCTCCCTCTTCTTTGAGGCAACTTCTCTCCAGCCTTCTCTCTCTGACTAGGGAGAAGTTGCCTGAAAGGGGGGGGGGCTCCAGCACAAGTCCCAAAGCTCGGAAGACAACAAATCCTCTGGTCCTTGGTGACCAGCCCAGATTGCATTCTGCAATTCTTATTTTTCTTTGCTCGCAGGGCCGCTGCGTCAGACCTTTACCGAGAACCCTTTGAAGGACCTGCAGCTTGAGTCTAGCAAGACGACAACGACGACGAAAAAGAGACCCTGGGAAGACACATTAATCTGAAGGCAACAGGACTCTACTCCCATTTCCTCTCGGGTTCCTTATCCCCTCGTCTCATAGTTCAGAGGTCCCCAACCCCGGAGCCATAGACCAGTACCGGGCCGCGGCATGCCGAAAACCGGACCGTGCAAAAAAGCGAAGCTCCATCCGTGGGAGGCAGGGAGCACACAAAACCATGCCATGCTCCGGTCCGTGGGGGAAAAAATCCTCTCTCCTCGGAGGAAGCGGTCCCCGGTGCTCCCAAGGTTGGGGGGCACTGTCATTGTTCCATTCATCACTAATAAAGGATGCTCTCTTTGGTTCTGTTCCTGCCTGCTGTTGCAAACGTAAGAATCTGAAAGAAGGACAGGTAGTCCTCGACTTAACGACCGTACGCTCAGTGACCGTTGGAAATTTCTCGGGATACGAGGTTCCTTTCTCCAACCCAGCCTACCGGTTCCCTTCCCTGTGGTGTGCCGGTCGTCAGGTAGTCGACTTAACAACCGTTCGTTGAGCGACTGTTTAAAGATAACAACGACACTGACAAAAGGGACTGATAACCGTTTTTCACACTTGCAACCGTGGCAGCCATCACCTGGTCAAAATTCAGAGGCTTGGCAACTGACTCCTATTTATGACGGTCGCAGCGTCCCGGGGATGTTACGTGATCCCCTTTTGCGACCGTCTGATGAGCAAAGTCAATGGTAACAACCATGTTACCAACTTAAACAACTGCATCGATTCACTTAATGGGGGTAAGAAAGGTCGTAAAATGGGGCAAAGCTCACTTAGCGACCTGGATTTTGGGTACAGTTGCCGTCGTTGGGGGACTACCTGAACTAGAAAATTTAGACAACCACACCTCGGAGGGACAGGATAGCGGTCATTGAGCAAGGCAATCAATGTGGGTGTCTCACTTCATGATGGCAACAACTTACAGTTGTATTCGGCAGGCTCCATTAAGGTTGTAAGTCAGGGACTACCACCATACCCACGTACTGCTGTAACCCCCCCCCCCCCAGCTATCGACTGCCTGAAAAGCTCATAGATCAGAGGTCCCCAGCCGTTTGGGCACCAGGGACCAGTTCTGCAGAGAGAGGGTTTTCCGCGGACCGGAGGCTGCAACGTTTTGTGTGCTGCCTGCATCCCGCGGATGGAGCTTTGCTTGTTTTTGCGGCCCGGTTGCTGGCATGCCGCAGCCCAATACCGGTCCACGGACGGGGGGTTGGGGACCCCGGTCATAGAGGAAATGAAAAGGCCACTGCTTTAACACTTAGGGACCGCCAGGAGAAATCTTGGCAGCTTTTTCTGCAATGTTTTTAGAAATAATTTGTCATTGCCTTCTTCACTGTCTTCTTGCTTGGGCTTTAGGCCGAAGGTAGAAGTAAGTGCCACAGTCTCTCCTTTTCTAGCTTGGTGCATTTAATAACTACACCAATTTTTAATTGCTAGCATCTTGCACCGGGTACAAACTTGGCAATGGTTGAGAATTCAATTCTAGATGTGATCAGATCATCTTTGAGGTCTCCTCGGATGCAGGAGTTCAACCCTATTAGGTCCTCAAGGAGAACAATCTTTTTTAGGCCCCACGCATTTTTTATTCCCTAATACAAAGGTCCCCAACCTTGTGGGCACCAGGGACCGCTTCCGTGGAGGGACCGCTTCCGTGGAGAGAGGTTTTTCCGCGGACCGGAGGGAGTGTGATTTTGTATAGTGCCTGCATCTCGCGGATGGGGCTTTGCTTGTTTGTACGGATCGGTTGCTGGCATGCCGCGGCCACGGACCAGGGCTTGGGGACTTCTTCTTGTGCCATATCCGTTATCAGACGTTGGCGATCATGTTGGCAATCCTGTTTTTATCAGCAGCCGCACGAAAAAGTGCTGCTGAGTTTTGTCCAAGCCAGTCCCTTAGATTTCGAATCCACGATGTTCTTCTTCTGCCTGGACCTCGTTTGCCTTCAATCTTTCCCTGGAGGATTAAATGGAGTATGCCGTATTTTTCTGGGTGTCGTATCACGTGTCCAAAATATTCTAATTTTCGTTTTTTAATTGTTTTGATGAGTTCCCTTGGCTTTCCCAGGCGGCTGATCACCTCCTCATTTCTGATCTTGTCAACTCATGGACTTCAACTCCCAGAATTCCTGAGCCAGCCACGCTGAGGGGAAAGGGAGAGGTTTCCAAGCTGAGCCATGCTGGCTCAGGAATTCTGGGAGTTA